CTTGAATCTAAGTCCTTCGTGACTTGGGTGAGTGTTTTTGATTCCTTCTCGAATCTAAGTCCTTCGTGACTTGGTTAGGTGTTTAAAACCAATAACGTTGGGTTAGGCAACCGGGCTCATAACCTATTGGAACAAGGTCTCCTCTGGTGGTATGACTACCATAGGGAACCGAGTAGAGGTATGTTAGGTCACCACGTATTGGATTGAACTACACTAAGAGCTGTTGTTCTGTCTTCTTATTATCATGATGATCTGGGGATTTACATGACAGATCATCATTCCGCGTCGGTCCTTCTGCTCGGGCTTACTTCCACGAGCCTCATCCCCGCCGACCTGGACTGAACCTTACATCTTCTCAACAAGTCGTAATAGATTGAAATTATTATATGTTTCGTACATGTCGTTTAATATGTCGGCTTCGGTCTTGTAACAAGATCCGTCTGACTCTCACCATCGCTAAGGCGCGAGCCATCTTCATAGTGTTGCTCATAGTGCCTGGAGATGTAGATACTCTTGTCAAATCCACCGACATCTGGAGATCTAGGCAGTTCAGAGCGTGGGCTCTCCGGAACTCCTGCTTCAAGCTCAAATTCGCGAGTCTGTCTCGCTGTGTTCCTGCCACGAGTGCCGATAGTGACGATTCTGCTGTTCTCACCAGTGCCAGTCCCTCTGCCAGAATTCCGGGAAGAGAAGCCTGGTATGAGTCTGACAATCAATGGCTTAAGCGCAGGTAGCGATGCGCAAACAATGGCCAGGTTAATCTCGATTGCAGACCAGTACGCCGCCCGTGCGGTGTAGTACGAGTTGTCTTCGGGATGTTTGAGCGCATTGATGACAGAGGTAAGGCGAAGAACCGACACGACGCATACGAACCAACCGATGGTGAGGACGGCGATGAGTGCAAGCTTCTGACGCATTGCAATCTGTAGGTTCCAGATTACCCGGACGGGAAGAAAGGCGACAGCAAGGTCTGTCACAATGTTGATGCTGGCATTCGCGTACCAAAGGCTGCAAGGATGGTTAGCAACTTTCTACAACCAGCCTCTATGGGTGTATATTCAAACTTACTTGTCATTCTCGAGACATTTAGCTGTCGGTTTCGCCAGGACATCCCAATAGGCATATATGGGGACACAGGTGAAGACTGAGCTTAGCAACGCCACCGTGCCCCAAACGACAATAAACCCCATGAGTACGCCAAGTGGTATGCGCATCTCAGGCACGGCGAATATCCGGTGGTACTGTAGTAAGATGGACACCTTCGTGGCGCAGAGACTAATGTTGTAGAAGATGATGCTCCAGAACAGCCACTATATAGTGTTAGATTTGCAGTACACAACTCTGATCACTGCGTACCTTGAGCATTTTCGTAACTCCTTCCGGATATGGAACAAAGACTGCATGTCTCCCGCTCCCAGCGTTTGCCTCTGTGTGGTGTCAGTAAGCAATGGCGTGATTGTTGGCTTAAATCTTACGCAAAACCTGGCATACTGCACATGCAGTGGATGTACAGGTTGACAAAACTATGATATAGTCCTAGAAGAATTAGATTCATTCATGTCCCGGCCGACTACGAGTTCTTACCTCCCATCCCAAGCGGCGTACAAGCCATCGAAGACGTGTAAAGAGTCGCAAGCAGACCGAAATGATTGCTAGAGCCGTAAAGGAAGTCACGAGAGAAATTTGGAGCGTACTTTCCTGGTCCTGTGCTAGGGCGGCCAGCTCAGGTGACATCTGATCCATGGCTGATGAGAGATGGGTAGTCAGAGATTCACAAGGGCATATAACTTCGTATTGCGTAGGGCCGATAGGGGAGAGCTATAACTAGGAGCACTCTACCTATGTATCATCGCCCGTGAGCAAACAAAGGTGAACGTGTCAGGCATCGCGCTCTAGAGTACCTGCGGTATTAGCTGCAGAAGCTAATATGTACCTCAATCCACCCGTGACAGGGATATCTGTCATTAGTCGCGGTATACGAGAATTTAAGTTTTCCGATGGACTAGACCCTGAGCGGTAATATCATGAGATCTGGGGAGATGGCGCTGACGGAAGAGCTAGGCCTAGTTTG